AGAGAAACAGAAACTCAACCAGGACAACGAGGTAGTCGCTGAAGTTAGTATTAGTGCCACCAGCTGGACCAAGCGTTTTACTACAGCAAAGTTACTCTGGCACGTTTGCGGAAACACGTTCATGTGGCCGCAGGCCGTTTTCACAGCACTGTGGCGACAATCCGGGCCACTTGGCCTAGTTTGTTTGTAAAAACCTATGTGACCGTGCCCTAGGTCTGTGACATGCTAATGAGTTAGGACCATGTTAGGCCTGCTCCATACAACATCTTAACACACCTTAGATATGTTTATAGGTTATAAATCTCCAACGCGCGGTCTGAGATCTCATTCCCTTGAAAAAGTTCCTTGGATTTAGGACGAAACGTCGGGGAAAACCTGCTGAGAAGTACAGATGCTTTGACTAATCCCTGTACGACTGAGAGCTTACACAAACATACTTTGACATAGATATACAAACGCATTTGTGACCGAAGGGATTAGGCTGAAGTACAATTTATTTTGCCTAATCCAATTCATACAGTAAAGTCTCCAAAGTCTAAGGCAAAACCCTTTCAAAATTTCAAGATCAGGAAAAAAGAAGAAAAAAATAAGAAAAAATAAATGATTATTTATAATAGCATATTAATCATTTTCTCTTCAATTTGAACAACAAAAAAGAAACACCAGCCTGTTTATTAATTTAAAGCACACACTGTACTTTAATGCAGTCCATATGTAGTCTACATTGTCACATTGCTCTAGTATAAAGACAAAGCCCTGCCAGCGCTCATCTCAGTCAGCCCAACACCGTGTGAGAGCAGAGATGCCAGTGTGGGTTATCTTTCCTCCGGACGCTCAGGCCTCCTCCCATCTCCTCTGTAAAAAAAAAAAAAAAAAACTGCTTCACAGATGGCTACACCGCAGCCCTGTCAGCCACTGTTAGGACCAAGCTGTGAACTTACCATTTTGTTTGCTTCCCCTCAGCCTAAAGAGGAGAACAGGCTGAAAAATTTAGCGTCCCGCATGCAAGAGAAAGCAGTGAGTCCCATAAGCACATGATTAATGAAAGAACAAATGTGTTGGAGTCGCTTGAATCAAATATGTAAAGCTCCTAACAAGAGATGACAAGTAGAAGTACGGGAAGTTGGAGAGGGGAAAACGACGAGCTCTTGTGTGTCATACTTTGTTCCACGGAAAAGACGGATTATAGAAGAGTGGTCGCCTATACCCCATGTTAAAGCATCGAGCGAGTTATACATTTGTCTATTAGTATGTAAGCATAATCTTCACAGATGAATTCTAACTTCTTTTAAGATTAAGATTAAGGGGTCTTTTATTCGCCTCATAGTGGGGAAATTTTAGTGCTGCATCACCGGTTATCTGAACTCTGCTTTGAAAGTGCTTTGGGTGACCTTGGTCTGAAATTATGTGCTATACAAATAAGATAAGAGTTCCTTTATTCGTCCCACAATTTCGATGTTGTAGTGCACAGACAGGACAGTAGTAAGAGCACACAGGGAGCACACAAAATATACAAAAAAAAGTAGTAGCTGTATTACTTAACTATCTGTAGATGCTGTAAATGCTTCGATACAAGTATTTAAATATAAAATATATATATGTAGTAGTGCAGAGTTATATACTGTACATATAGTGCAGGATAATAGGCAGATAAGGTAAAATGACTTTGTTCAGTGACATTCTGAAGGAGCAGTATTGCACATTGCACATGATTTAGTATATACTTATTTACAGATGGATGACATTTGCAGACTCAGCAGTTCTTTTTGAATGAAGTAAACATTATTTACTTGCAGGGGTGACGAACTCATTTTGGTTGAGGGTCGAACAAAAAATGTAAGAACTCGGAGCCAAAAGCATAAAAGTGGTTTTCTTTTATTATATTTATTATACATGTTTTTGTCATTATGAAGGTATTTTGGTACATTACTTTATTCACATTAGTTAGATATTCTTTTCTAATACATTTTTTTGAAACAAAATTACTTCAGTTACTGTTGAATGAACCAAAAGTGGAACAAAATTTAAGAGGAAATGTAATTGAAGACTCGCAGACCATTTTTCAAACACATTTTAACAATGTAACTCATAATTACTTGTTGGATTAAGATTTCTGAATAATTTAAATGAAATGGTTATTTTCTTGAGAACATTATTTAAAAAATGTTGTTTAAACATGTCATTGTAGCCTATTACCATTAATGTTGCAACTTGATATAATTCAAAATAATTTCAGGGGCCACTGAAAATGGTCTTGTGGGCCAGATTTGGGCCACAGGCCTGAATTTAACATGGCTGGGATAGAGGATCACACTATGCAAGAGAAATCAACTATAACTCTCACGCTAAAATAAAATAAAATAGCTTTAGCCTTGTAAGGAGGCAAATCTAAGTCCTCCAACTTTAGCATAATAAAGAAGTCAGTATAACATAGCTAACTTTGGCATAATAAAGAAGCAAGCATAAAATACTGTATATTCTAGTGTAAAAAAAATACATGTGCAGTATATATCCGTACATGCTCGCAGCATGAGGGTATGGCACAAAGTGACAGTACATTAAATATTACAGCATTTTCTTGATTTTGTCCTTGTAGCTATGATTGCAGTCTAATGAACAAAGCACAACACTTGAAGGTTTAAATGCAAATTAGAAATAACAATTTTAGAGATTAAAGCCATTACAAGAGGACACATTGTGCCAAATCAAACTTTAAAAGCTGTTCTTCTTTCTCACTGGCATACTCAAAAAAATGTAAAAGTGAACCTTGCATATTATTTATACTCCTGTTCTTTGCTGAAATACTCAGTAGATTATACAATTGTAATTCACAAGTTTTCCACTTAAATTAGTCAAGCGTATGCAACTCATCCAAAGCTCTGAGACTATTGTCTTGATGTGGTCCAGGGAAAGATCTCATATTATTGCTTCTTAAAGGGACTTCCACTGGATCCTAGTTCAGGCATGGATAAACTTTCAAATCTATGTGCGTGTTTATAGAGCCTTCCATATTCAGCCACACTCATGTATTTACTTGTCCCTAATGAACCTGGGCACATTCTCTCTGATCTCAACTTTTTTCCCGCTGTTACCGAGGTTGAAGGTTAGAGAAGCGGCTTTCTCCCATTATGCTCCTTGTGAATGGAACACTCTGATCCTGCGCTCATTGAAGAATAAAATAGACCCACTTGTTCTCACTCTCTTACTTGCAGTGTTATCCTTTCTTATGGTTGAGTTGCATAATAAATATGTTTACTTAATTGTTTTTAGTCATTGGTGACACACAGACACACACAGATCTGCAGAACTCTGAAGGCAGTTTGGAACAAACTTTGTAATATCATACTGTATGTATAATTATATGTATATGCCATCGGGCATTTACACCGCACTCAGACCAACGACTGCCCTGAGCCCAGTTCATGCCTGTTGTCACTGGACTTCGATCGATTGAGTAGGAATGAGTTTTCAGACCCTTTCCGGGGCTGAAAACTGGATAGCCCTCTCTTTTCTCAACAGGAAGGTCCTGGGTTCGAATCCTAGTCGGGAACAGGGCCTTTCTGAGTGGAGTTTCCATGTTCTTCCCGTGTAGGTTTCCTCCGGGTGCCCCGGTTTCCACTACCACTAAAGCCATGTACAATAGGTCTGGCATGTGCCTCCTGTACTGGCGACCTCACTCCAATCTCTGTGTGAAGTGAGAGAGAAATGCCCAATATTGTGAAGCGCTTTGTGACTCTGGTCTGTGAAAGGTGCTATAAAAATAAAGAATACTTACTATTGAAATAGTAGTTTTGTTCTGTCATTATCTGTGGTGAAATAACAGAAGTCTCTTGCTACAAACAAAAGAACTATAGTTTCCCGTCTGCAGAGCTATGTAAAATCTAGTATGAGCGTGGCAGTTTCAGAGGTCACTGAAATGAACTTTTGTTCCATTTTGCACTGAAGATTCTTGGTCTGCATTCAGGCAGAAGTAATGGAAGTGTGCTGGAGCATTGAAGATTGATGCGGGGGAACTCCCAGGCCTGTTCCTCCAGCCTTTTAGCCCGGTTGCCCCTTCATCTATAAACACACAGCAGCACATCATTGGTTCCTGCTCTGGACTTTTGACTCCTGCCGTTTATTCCACTTAAATCTGCTTTACATGCACTTACAGGAATATACTCGATTTTGTTGTGTGTTTGTTTTTGGAAAAGTTTGAATGGATGTTGTTTAGTTTACCACTGTACATTGTATCACCTCATCCAGGGGTTCCCTAACTTTTCAGCTTGCAACCCCCATGATAAACGCGTTGCTGCCCCGTGTCCCCCCACATCTCCCCCACCCCAACTCTAAACTTGATTTTGATTGACGCTGTCGTAACTCGTAACGTCTATATTTAAATGTATTTTTCAAACTGTTCTCCAAACACAATTTAACAAGAAGTCATATTGCATATTTCAATTGCAACAACAATATTTAAGGGCTATATATTTGTTCCACTCTTTTTTTTATGGAAATCATCTTGCGACCCCCACTTTGGGAACCACTGACCTAATCAACTAAAATGATTTCTAAGTATTGAAAGGGTGCTGGTAGAGAAAGATGTTTCAATGTCAAATGTCAAATGGGATTGGTTGATTGATTATTGGACAGTGGGAATAAAAAGATCATAACAGTAGAATATGTAACAAACTAAATGTATGTGATTAAAAAACTTATATCTTATAGCACTATAGTAATAATTGCACATGGGAAAAGTAACCTATGTAAAATGCCTTCAGAATTAAGTATACTTGTGGAACTTGGCTCGATGGAGCAAATTTGACCCATTCACACCTCCATATTGGAATGCAGCTACGAGTAGGCGGGCTCTATCTATTAAACGTGGAAGGGTAGCCAAGTTCAGTTTTCTCTCTCTATAATTTATAATATAATAAACCAAGGGAATTCATTGGAACATGCAACAACATTAACCTTTTGTTCCGCCAACTCACGATTGTGTTTGTGTTCGCAGGGTCGGTATGGCCTACAGGAAGGTGTGCGATTCTCAGGGGGGCCCTCTGGTGGGGGAAGCCTGTCCAGGGGCGCTGGAGCTGGACTGGGATCTGGACAAAGAAGAGCTCCCTGAGGCCGTACCAGACCGGGAGAGGCTGCAGATGCAACATGTGGACTGTCCAAGAGCAGGTCCTATATTCACATGTGTTGAACCTTGACGTCTTTGTGCTAATCTACGAGTATTGGATCCATGAGTGGGTGGCATATTTCTGTCACTTACCTAATGTTTCCCGTGTCTGAAATAAATGGGTCTGTCAGGGAACACAGCGCAACCCTGAATGACACTGCAGTATTCATGGACTATTAATCATATATGGTTTATTTAATGCATTTCATGTTGGTGAAGTAAAACCAACTGGATTATTTAGCTTTTTTACTTTTTAGATGATCAAATATTTATCTTTTGACATGGGTCCTTATTAATTGAATCCGATTTTCAGATGCTTTAAAGCTCGAGTACCTTACTGTCAAACAAAGTAATACAATCCTAGTTCATCCCTCCTTCTATCATTAGTTTGCACATGCATGTCATTTTTTTTGCTCCAGTCACATCTTTAGATTAGCCTATTTAGACAGAAACGGGAATATAGAGGGCTACCCTCACTCATCCCTCATCAGCTCGCATCAGCCCAAATGTCACATGGGAACTTACAAGACTTTTTTGTATATGTATAAAATAAAAACAAAATAATGTTGCTCACCCATCATCTGTACTTCGGTCAGCAGGTTTTCCCTACATTTATTCTTATCCAAAGAACTTTTTCAAGGCAATGAAAGCTCAGCCGCGAATTGGAGATTTATGACCTGTGGGTGTGGTTATGTATAAGACAATAAACTTAAATGTTGTCTTTCTAATAATATTGAGAAGATGAAGACAACATTCTTCATCTTATTAGTCTGATTTGTTCATCAGCATTCATCAACATTTAACCCCAGCATTTTCTGCATACATCAAAGTTAGCATCCTAATCTGTTTACAACCATGCGTAATATGATGCAGCTAAGTAGAGTGAAATAAATTCTGTCTGAAATTTCTGCAGTCGAAACTTTTGGATGATTTTCAACAGAATCTCTCCAGCCAGGTCTGTTCTTTTAAAGCTTTGTAGAGAGAGTGCAGAAGCTGAGCCTTTGAAACAAACTGTCACTGTGAGGAAAGACAATGCTTTATTTAACGTGCGGAGTGAGGGCGCCCGCAGCTCCACAGACAAAACTCCGGAAGCCCCCTCCAGCTACTCCCATCTCCAGCCTTTGAACTGGGAATTTGGATTTATGCCTCCATTTTTTAATCTGCGCCCTACACCATTTTGGGAGATATATATTTATTATTAATATTATCAGTCAATTATTGAGATTGATCTGTGTTATAAAAATAGGATAAGTCTGAAAAGTCATTGTGTGTAACTAGAGAAGGGTTTGTGACGGATATAAATAAGTTTAAACAAATTTCAGTTCATGTACAGTATTTATTTTAGACATTTCTGAAAATTTCAGGCACACAGGTAAAAAGGTACAGGAGTACACATGTTAAACTTAACAATTAAAAACACTTGTTGCTGTGTTAACAAAAAATAATCTTTTAAAAAATCACTAATAAGTAATAGTTTAGTTGCAATTACACATTTAAAATCTGTTTTATTTCTTTAATAGTTTTTATTTTTGTATTGGATAACTGGTATTTTATTGTTTTTATTCCATTTTTATTGTTTTACTGTACACATCATAATTGTTTTACCTATTCTATATACTTGTATATTTAAATACCTCTGTGCATCGCTTTGGAATCTTGTTTTATAAAATGTGCTGTATAAATACAGTGGGTAACACTTTATAATAACTACCCCTTATATAGGCTTAATAAATGTTGAAATAACACTTAATTAATCATGAACAATTCATTAATTAAGTGTGACCAACACTTAATAACTACTTAACTACTACAATTTATAAATGCTTAACTCATAATGAATACATCTTCAAGTACTTCACTTGTTCATTATTATTTAATAGTTTAATAATTATGAAGTAACCATTTCTTACTACATATATAGATGGTTTGTTACACCATGATTAAACCACATGACTGATAATTGTATACTTGATTATTAACTAATACTACAGTGCATGATTTATTAGACAATTACTAACAGTTAGTTAAGAGTTTTTAACAAAAACTTCACGATTGTGTCCCACTTTTTGTTGATTCTTGACAAAAATTTTAATTTGTATATCTTTATGTTTGAAGCCTGAAATGTGGCGAAATGTTGAAAGGTTCAAGGGGGCCGAATACTTTCGCAAGGCACTGTATTGCGGTATAATTTGGTGTGTGAATTTCAATGTAGGTCTAGCAGTTTCTTGCATAAAATAGTCAAGATTGTTACTTATTTATATATTAGAATCTAATATATATATTTTTTGAGTTAGAAAATCAGTTGTGAGCCGAATAAAGAGACAAATGTTGTAACATACATTATTTATGTATGTTACAGTAAATACCATTCACTGTAGGGTTAGGGTTAAAAGCAATTTTAAAAAGAAAAACATTTGCATTAATTTAAAATATAAAAAAACTCACAATTGTTGAAATCAAAGCCTGCAGCAGTTAGACATGGTCATTTTTTGTAGTGTCTGAGAGTTTTGTGCAGGTACATGACTTCAGTAAAAGCTATTGTTCGTTTAAAAAGCTGGTCTTGCCATTTGTTGACGCTCCCTAAGCGCTTTTCTCTGCGCTTGCAGTGAACTGGATGATTCAATGGATTTATGTTCATTAAAACAGTGCATTGGATTTGAACAATTGATGTAAATGATAATTTTGGCACAATTAAGTTTGTTTAACAAAGTAGCTTTCGTGAGATATTGACCGCGGAGGTCCAAATCTGACGCTAACTTTCCCAAACTTCTGCTGTGATGCTGCGGACACGGCACACGCATGGATCTATTTTGGCTCACGCTGGCGCTTCGAGCCTACGCCCCTTTGACACTGATTGGCCAAAAGGTAGACGCTTAAACTGTGATTACTTTGTGTGTATTTACCTCTGCTGAGGCCGCTGTGACAACAATACATAGACAGAAACACGGTGTTAATGCCGTGCTGTTGTTCGTTGTTTCCAGTGGTGTCTGCTAGCGTCAGAGCCTGCGCAATTTGATGACATAATGACCTATTGCAATATGCCGGTATAACAAAAATCTCTACCGTGGGCCAAATTTATATCGCATACCGCTTATACCGTTTATATCGCCCAGCCCTATATTGTCACAATATCTTTCAGATCAATCATTTTTACACAAAAGGATTTTGTAGATCAAAATAGCAGCTTTTTATTTTTCAAGTGCTTACACATCTTTGCAAAACATGCACAAACATATATTAACATTAAAATTCAAGTAACATGGAAAGAACACTGAAGAATGGAAAGGTTCTTTTATGGTTGGGGACACTATCGACAGACTCCGGTTAGAGAATCTTCAATCAGCTTCATTGCAGGTTTGGCAGGAGATCATTGTATGCTGAGGAAACAGAAATAGACAAAGGAAAACAGTATTAATAATTATTCTATAGCAAATAACTCATTAAACAATCAATAGCTACTTGCCCGGGCAAGTAGGAACTAAAAATGTCATAAAATTAATAACATAAAAATCCAACATAGGTTCCCTTTAAGGTCTACATAAAGTACGTAAATAAGTTATGTAAACCACGATGGAAACTAACATTACAAAGGTGCAGGAAATTAAATATGACAAATAATAATAGCATAAATAGCTTAATGTAGCATTGTTAGCTTAATTAGCTGCAGACAAACACAGGTCGGGAAAACTCTTTAGCAAATAATGCCAAACAACGTAAATCTTCCTTCCCAAACTCTCATAAAGATCACAAGAATTACAGGAACTTAGTTCTTGGGTCATAAAAACGCACAAACAATGTACAAAGCAATGACGTGCAGTCAGGGGCATCATTGGAAACAAATAATTATAATAGTTGTAATATATAACTGTTTTCCACTGTTCTATGCTTTTAATGTATATTCTGCACGGTTCCAACCAGTTTTGATCATTTCTGAGGTCAAAATTGCCGAAATCCTATTTTTCCTATTCAAAGAGACGAGGCGGCACTCCTGCGTGCCTCACCCCGGATCGCTCGCTTCTTCACAGTGGTCTGTGCGAGTACACCCAGCTCCTGCTGGTGGATCTATCACTGTTTGTTTCAAATATCCTGCTTTGAAAACATTTGTTAAACTTGTCATAGTGTTTAGTAATGTATATGTGTGTGTACTATTTATATTTAGTTTAAGTCTTTTAATAGGAGAAGAATACACAAGGAAAAAAGTATCTGTGCCTCACCGCTAGGGGTGATAGTGAGCAGTTTGTTTTATGTTGAAAATTGACTAGATAGATATCAATCTTTTTTTTAAAAACCTTAATAAATATATGTTGTGTCGGCTAACAAACGTTAGCAGCACATATTTAGTCACAGGGGGATGAGAACTCACACTGGAGGCATATGTTCACAAGCACAGTGTCCCCCATCGACAGTCCTGGTTTAGCTCCTGTTTTGGCCGTTTGAGTGTTTTCAGTGTTTCCGGCTGCGCGCTTGTGTCCCCGTGACGGTTTCCAGAGGAAAAATTTAAGTCTCTTGCTTTTGCCGCATGCATCGAGTCTCTGTACCCACTGCCTCTACCGTGCCGCACATGCCATTTCTCGCACGGACGTGCATTGAAACACAACAACTATTGATCCACGGACATAACGCATGATCCGCTTGTTGATATGAGTTTATTTTATTTCTTTTTTGCATTTCCCAGAATGCCTCGCGGTTCATGCTCGCCGTGATAGGTCGAGAAGCTTATGCCTACATCCCCCAGAATGCCGCGCGCTTCTGACTTGGCTTTACTTCCTGTTTTTTTTCTGTCAAATGAGTGCCTAAAAAGCCAATCACTGCTTTATTTGTACATTTCGGTAAATATTGAGCCTTTTTGGATGTGTTTGTCTGAACACTCACCTTTACGTCTGCACCTGAACGCCTCACCACGTGAACAGTGCCACAACAGACCGCGTGGTGCCATATTGACACTGCTTTGACATGCGGAGGAACACCGCAAAACGTAGGAAAAGACTTTGTACATTGTTTG